GGCCGGGGGCGGGGGGGGGGGGCGACCCGCCGGTAACGGCTGTGTGGGCGGGGCGGCGGGGCTTAGCTGGCCCGGCCCGTGGCCGTGCTGGGACCCGAGCAGGCCCGAGGGGAGCTGGCAGGCCGCCCCCGGCCCCGCTCCGCTGCCCCCCTCCTCCAGGCCGCGGGTTTCAGCGGAGGCTGGGATGTGCTGGCCCTGCTCCCTGGGCCCGTGTGTGCGTTGGCAGCTCCTGATCCCGTTGCAGCAGGGGGGTCCTGGTGTGATGTTTGTGGAGGCGGGAGGTGGCGAGGTGAGGGCCTGGGCGGCGGCGTGACGGTGCTTCGCGCTGTTCCCTTTCACAGGAGACAGTTGCTGCAATCCACAAAGCATGGGCTACATTAAGAAAATAGTGGAGAATAAAATACCAGGGATTTATGTTCTGTCTCTCAAGATTGGAAGCAACCTGATACAGGTAATAACTGACTCCGCTGGCACTTGCGTTTCTGCTTGGCAGGGTGGTGGCCAGTGTGTGGATCTAAAGGTGCGATAGTTATTGCGGTCTCTGTTATCAACGTGGTTCCACAAGGATTCGGGTTGTGCTTTCCCTGCTAATTTTTTTTTTCTTTGTGCAGTAAACAGCTTTGACAGGTAGAAACTTGTAAAGTCTAGATAATACCTGCAGCCAAGAACTGGGGAAAAACAAATCCCTAGTCTAAACTGGATTAATATGCAAATCCGCTAATGAGCACTCTCTCACCACTCCAGGTGGTGAGGCATGTGATAAGACACCGTGCTCTTTAAGGCAGAGCTCTATCCCGTGCTATCCTTTCTGATTTACAACCATTTATTCACTATATATCCTCAGTATAATAAAGATACAGGCTTCTTCTGCACCTTCGTATTTTGTGACAGTTTTGTGTAGCCCTACGGAATCTCTTTAAATAGTGTCTCAGGATAATGTGCAATATCTATTATTTCTTGCGATCTGGAAAAGATGGGTGAAGTTTGAGGTTTTTATTTTATATATATACACAAAATCTGAAGGGACTCAAATTGTCAAGAAGTTTGGGGAAACGTCACTGTTCCGTATGAGAGTTTTGCCAGGCAGAGTAGGAACAAAAACGCGATAAAGGGAAGTCTCAAAACTTGAATTTCACTTCTGTCATATTGTGAAAGTTAAGGTCCTCTTTCAAAGGCAGAACTGTTAGCGATCTATTCATAGAGATTAAAATAACGTAAACCATTGTAAAGGTAGAAATTGTGCTTTCTAATCTGGCTAATCCATCAGGATATGGAGAACAGCTTCTTTATGAATGTGAACGATCAAGTGAGAGAGGTGTGCAGCCAACTTGCAAAGGACCCTCACCTGAAAGGAGGCTACAACGCAATGGGCTTCTCCCAAGGAGGCCAGTTCCTGTGAGTTTACCCTTCTGTTCCATTTCCAGTGACTTTTGTTGGGCTTTAGGTTGTGATGTAAAATTCTTTTCAAGTACCGAGCAGATGTAAACTGACAAACCCCTTTGTAAAGGTAGGAGCGCTCCAAAGGCAGGAATATGTTTGCCTGTGGCCCAGCTGTACCAGGAAGGGTTAATTCTCATTGCAAACGTTCCCCAAGTGCCCAAGCCCATGCAGTGGCAAGCTGGGAGGTGCGTGCGAACCAGCAGCGGTGGCCTGGGCACGCTGAGCGCCAGCTCAGCTCCTTCACCTTTCTCCACAGGAGGGCGGTGGCCCAGAGGTGTCCTTCTCCTCCCATGCTCAATTTGATCTCCGTTGGGGGGCAGCACCAAGGTAGTGTCTTCTTAAGTTACCCTGCCTCCTAACCACTGTGAAGGGTGGGGGGCTTTTGTTGGCAGGAGGAATGATTTTTTTTTGGCCTTTTCCTAAAAACTGACTGTTTTCTGGTGAATTTAACTGTCCCTTTGTTCCTGTCTGAATCTGGTGGTCTGCTTTGGCCCAGCTGTTAGCCGAGTACCTTCTGTCTTGGTCTGGCTTAACCAGCAAAGAGAAGGGACCTTTGTAAGCAGACAACTTATTGTCTGGGTAGAATTCTTACATACTTTGGAAGCACTTGGGATTAGTTGTTTTAGGAGAAGAAATTTCTAACTACATAGCAAAGCGTTTGTGAAACTAAACCTTCTGGGTCACAAGGATATTTTACAATCGGCACCTGGAAGGCTGAGGCCCCAAGGAAAGGGAGGTGCTTTTTGCAGGAGATTAAAGAGGCAGTATGAAATGGAATTTAAGAGGTGTACAGTTAAGAGTGGCTGGCAATGAATTTCAAATACTCCCCCCTGAGAATTTCCATGGCTTGAGTCTGTTTCTTTGTAGTGTAGTGGGAAGACTTGTAGGGAACCATCCTGAGACCTCCCGGGAACACACCAGGCGAGCTGGACGGTATTCCGCTTGTCTGCATGCCCCCATTCTCCAGAACATCATCCATTATCTCTGTGTGTAACGGCGCCCAGGGGCGGGAGGGCTGTCTAATGAGATTGCAGGATTAAAGGCTGCCTGATTCCCTGGGTAATTCTTGCCACTGCTCTGTAAGAGGGCGGTTCTTTACTAGCCAGAGGGATTAAGGGATTTGAGTTTGGCTCACCGAGTTGTTACACGTCTCCATACCCCAGGCGTGTACGGCTTTCCACGCTGTCCTGGTGAGAGCTCCCATATCTGTGACTGGATCCGAAAGACGCTGGATCTGGGCGCCTACACGCAAGCTGTTCAGGAGCAGTGAGTAACGACGGGGGCCAGGTCCACGTGAGAAGCTCTGGGTTTCCGATCTGATCTTTGTTTTTTTCTCTTCTCCAGCTTGGTACAAGCGGAGTATTGGCACGACCCTCTGAAGGAGGAGGACTACAGGAAAAAGAGCATCTTTTTGGCTGACATAAATCAGGAGAGGGTAAGGACCTGGCTGATGATTAAATGCTAGCAGGAGAGCAGGAGCCTTGGCAGTGAGTTCCTTCACGTTAGCTCTCCCTGGCAGTAGTTTTGCTGGAGTTCAAAGGGTAGCGTTTTCTGCCCTGCATCCCAGGAGCGTACAGAGTGGTTTTGCTGGTAGATTTATGAATGAGGCAGAGCAGTTCCTGCGTCGCTGCGCTCTTTTGGAGCGGCTGGTGTAGATACGCCACGTGCTTAGTCCACCCATCGCCATTTGAGTGGGCAAATCCTCTCCCTCCCCAGGAAGGCAGGGGAGGCCCGTCCCCTCTTTACAGCCTGGAGATGAGGCTGAAGGCCACGAGCACAGCACACAAGGGAGGCTGGCGGCAGAAATGCACCTTCCTGCCTCCTAGGCTGATGCAGTCCAGGGTTTCCTTTGCAGGTGCAAGGCAAGTTGGAGTGGGCCGTTTCCCCGACCCATCTCAGCGGGCTTTCCAGTGACTTGGATCTGTTCTCTGTTGCTTTCATCCAGGGCATCAATGAGACGTACAAGGAAAACCTGATGGCTCTGAAAAAGTTTGTGATGGTGAAATTTCTCAATGACACCATGGTCGACCCTCCGATCTCCGAGGTGAGGCAGGCAGGGCGGGTGCTGCTTTTGGGTGCTGGTTTGGTTCTTGCTTGTTCCTCATTTCGTGGCGAGGAACAGGCTGAGCACAAACGTAGGCCTGATACTGCACCGCTTGCAGCACCAGCAGAAGCTGGTGAAAGCCTGCTTCTCTCCTGGGAGCTCTCCAGCAACCGTTTCCTTGTTTTTATTCTGGTAGTGGTTTGGGTTTTACAAAAGCGGCCAAGCCAAGGAGACCGTCCCGCTGAAGGAGACCTCGCTGTACACAGAGGTATGTTCTGCTGGGGGCTGAGGGGTTTCTGCTATTTCCACTCCAAAGAACGTAGTGTCCCTGGGGCCTCGAGGAGCTCCAAACCCCACAGCTCTGCTCTGCTCACCACCTCTGCCGCTCCTGGGGCACGGCCTCCTCTTGCCAGTAGCTGTTTGGGAAGGCATTTCCCTCCGGGCCAGTTCTGGCAGTGGGAATTACAGTGGTGGTCTCACACCTGGCTCAAGATCCCCTTAATGAACTCTGCTCCTTTTTAAAGCCTTGCTGTAAGTCACCCAAAAATGCCTTTTTCCCCACTGTGAGGAGAAGCGTTGAAGAGCAGAGGTGGAAGCCACTCTGGCCTGCCAGCCACTTCTGCTGCAGCAAGTCTCTGACCATCAGTGCTCTTCTCCATGCGGCTTCCCCAGCCTTTGCCAGCGTTTGGCCGCGGCAGGGCCCCGGGAAGCTAGCTATGGTCATACTTCTCTCTGCAGGATCGCCTGGGGCTGCAGGAGATGGACAAAGCAGGAAAGCTGGTGTTCCTGGGGGTGAAAGGGGATCACCTGCACTTCTCAGAAGAGTGGTTTTACACCACTATCCTCCCCTTCCTCCAGTGAAGCTGAGGGGAGGCAGCACCACTGTAGTTAATGCAGCTGCTACTGTGCAACAGCACTTTCTGCATACAAGCCTGCAGGGAGCTGGGGAAGGGGAAGAAGAGGGGGCTTAGCTCAGCAGTTCCACAGCGTGCAGAGGTGGCACCCGCTACGCTGCGTAAGAGACCGGGGTTTGTCTGGATGTAATTACGCTCCAACAGGGGCGGACCGAGCCTTGCACTCACTCTGAAGCACTCCATCCTGCACAGGCTTCGGTTCTCAGAGCTGTGGCCCTGCCGGTCGCTTGGGGATGGCAAAATGATTAGCTGCGCGAGAGGTTTGTTATCCCCATCGCCTGTTCCTCGCAGGATGCGATGGCAGTATTAACTGAACTCACCAGAGCAAGAATGCTGTGTCTCCTAAAGGGATCAGCAAGTAGACTTAGGTGGCTGTACGCAGAGGAAAGATCTTACAGCCTGTCCTTCAAGATGGGGAAAAAGGGCCAAACTGAGAGGTTTCTGGGGGAAAAAGGAGGGTTTTGAATTAAGCAGGTATTAACAGCTTGAACAGTTTTCAACTAATGGCTTGTTTTATGCACTTTTGTACAGCAACTGCAATCAATAAAGACCTTTACATCTAACCAACTAAGAAAAGAGGTGAGATTTGACAACTGCTGACAATTTGATTTGAGGGGAGCTGAGGAGAGTCTGTACTTCCCCACAGGGAAAGTATGCGAAGCGGCAAGGGGCATCTTGTCCTGCCTGAGGTGCTGTGGGCCCCCCGAGAGTAAACAAGAGTCATTGTAATGAGCAAGTTGGCATTAACTTTATTCTATCTTCTGTATAATCTTAAGTACATAAGAAAGGTTTTTTCACAAGCCTCAGGAGAAGACGAGTACAAGTCACAGGACAGTCTCAAAATAAAAAAATTGCATATTTTTTTTGTAAGTTTTGTCCTAGAGAAAAAGAACATTGACACTTTACAGAGGAAATGCATTTAAGATATGCTTATGCCACCCGAGGCGTTGGAAAAATGAAGGTCAAAGCACGTGCAGCTCCCTTTATGGGTCAGTACAGTACTGTGTCTCAGATCCATCACTCTGCTCCAGGGCCCTGGAACAGAGGCTGCAAGCTTCCACCAAAGTAAAGAGCCAAGCAACAGGGGAAAGGGGAAGGTGAGAGGAGTAACTTTATGGGGGCTGATTGCAGATGAGGAAGAGAGCGATGAACCGACTTGATCCAACTCGGGTATTTACAATACTGCACTACTGACCCTGGAATGAAGGAGACCCTTCCTCTGCAGAAGGGGACAGGTTCAGAAGAACTGTCCTGGAAGACCGAACCTGCATTCAGCTGCTCCGAGAAGGAAGCCCTGGGGCAAAGATTCCCTTGCGAGGGTGGAGGGCTCACGGAATCAGAGGTGCTCAGCTCCGAGCTACCAGCCAGGCTGCTGGGGGGGTAACTGCAGTCACTCCACTGCAGGCTTCCTGTGGCACTGGTTAATGTAAAGCCTCCTGTCGTGGCACGATCAGAAATACACTGAGCTAGTAGGAATGATGAAAGAGAGGTTGGGGTGGAATGCTGCGGCCCAGGTCCTCAGCCTTTGGTCCGACAAAGCCATTCCCATGTCCTGTAATGCCACCAACTAGCACACAGAGCTGGAAGGAGCAGCTTCCAGGACCTTCTTGAGACATCTGCCATAGCAGCTGGGTACCCTGGACCCTGACAAAAACCATTTTTTGTTAAAAAGGGGACAACATTCCTCTCTCACATGAACAGTTTGCTTAAAGGCGATACAAAAAAACCCCGAACAACACTCTGAAAGCCAACTGCCAGTACTGGCTGTGAAGTTCACCAAAAATCTGACTCGATCAATTGGTGCAGTTAGATCGGACAAGGGGAGGAGAAAAAAAAAAAAAATACACCTTCCTGCTAATAGATGTGGCCGATAACTGACCCGCCACCTCCACCACACCCCAGCCAGAGGTATTTCAGTGACGGCAGGTAGCTGTGTCTCTCGGGTAGAAGAGAAGCAGTTTGAGAGCAGAAAGGTACAAGAAATCTAAGAGAATCATCTGAAAGCAGATTTGTCCCACAGCAGGGCCAGGGGAGGGCATGAGCCTTGGAGCTTTTCTGCTTAGCCAGCAATTTCTGTCACAGTGGTAACCAACTTCTGACCGTTCCACACCGTCTTGAACTGTTCTGGGACAGGGCATTCAGTCTGGAGGGTAAAAACAGAAAGCTGTTGTCACAAAACAGTTTATGACCGAGACTAGTAACTGTTCCCACTGCTTCAGGCATTTCTTTTCTTGGATACGTGCTCTGTCCCCTCCTGTACCACAAACGCTGCCTGTTCTGCCCCCAGGAGATCCTGAGGAAGCAGAAACTCTCACAAAACAGCAAGTATCTCCCTGCAAAGACACACAACTCGATTTGCTGGTTTTAGTATCCGATCGTCATTCACAACCTCCAAGTCGAGTCTAGAACTGTCCCTCCAGACCTCACCGTAACCGTGACATTCCCTGCAGGGCTCAGAACAGCAATCCTGCGACGTTCCCCGCAGGGCCCTGCGTTACCCCAACCCCAAGCAGACCACAACGATTTCAAAACTTAACACTCACAAAGTCACCACCCTCTGTGGGAATAAGGACATTCATCTCTGATGACTTGGCACTGACGATTTCGCAGTCTAGGGAGTTCTTGCTCAGATACACGTGGCAACCGTCCGTCTTGTTGATGGAAATCGTTGGCACTTTACCCATTACCTAGCAGGGCGGTCAAAGCAGTGAGAGGAGCATTAGCTTGAACCGGGCAACAACAACATTTTTCTTTTGCGCTTGCCTTCAAGGCAAGAGGTTTGACTCCAGCCCCCCTGCCGCAGGCACGCTGCATTCAAGTACTCCCACCTTTGGCAAAAATCCAAAGTTATTTCTTGTTCTGATCTCTTTAGAACAAAACTACAGTGAACGCTGGGCAAATTGGCCATCCCAAATCAGATACCAAAACGGGAATCGGAGTAGATGCTGCTGCTGGCCCCCTCCTTTGGCAGTCGCGTTGCGCTGCCCGCCTCACAGAGGCTAATCTTTTATCTGGAGCCCTGAGGCAGCTCAGTGAGGCAAATTTCAGCCCTTTCCTCAGGGCTGGGCAGGGTGAGCTGCAGAGCAGCAGGACAGAGGGTGTTTCACCAATGTTCTCCACAGATGCACGTTCCTGTTCTGGAAATAAAACTACTCAAAGCAGCAGATGCTCCAGACGGCCTGTGGTACAGCGCATCAGTCAGACTGCAGGCAGAGAACAGGTCGCAGACGCTCACCTGAACTTTAATGTCCCTGCTGTTGATGATCTCTACGATGCCCACCACGTCATCGAACACCAGCCCTAGCTTCTTACAGTTGTCTGCAAAGAAAAGACAGAGTAGCTCACAGAAAGGTTTTGGAGATTCAGCCGTCTGCAAACAGACCAGCAGGCAGGAGCAGTTCTCAGGGCTTCTCCACTTACCGAGGGTGATAGAGTTGATCTTGCCTTTGATTTGGAGTGTACTATTTGTGCACTTGAAAACATATGCTACCTGCTTCAACTCTGTGTCACTGATTACCAGGTTAGTGGCATTCTCCTGGTTTTCCTGAGAAGGCAGGGAAAACGCGCTTTATTTTTGGAATGCGGACCAATTAATCTGTGTGAGCAGCAGGGCAGCGTAGGCCCTTTAAAAGCAAACCGCATGTACCTTCAGGCTGGTGCCTCTTTCAAGAAAGGTCTTCAGGAGACCCTGCCTCCCTGCTGCAAAGCTCCCATCCCTCCAACCCACTCATGCCGACGCCAGGCACTCACCACTCTCCACTTTTTGCCCTCTAATTCTAGCAACGCAGGTGCCTTTGGAGAGGTTTTTTGGGAGGGATTAGCATTGCAGGCTGGTTTGGGAGCAGTGAAAGGTTTGGGTCCACTTCTCACAGGACCCCCTTGGTTCTTCAGTGCTGGATTCTTGTGGGTCTTCATGTCATCCGAGACATGTCTTAAGCCTGCAAGAGAAGTCAAACCCGAGATCCAGCTCTCCTGCAAGACTGCAGTTTCACAAACACCAGACATCAGTGATTACAACAATCATCATGATAACATTTTTCAAAACGCAAATAAATTATTGAGACTGGGCCCAAGTTGACTCCAAGCATGAGTGACAGCCAGCGAACGAGGGAGCAAGAGAGACCGATGCAATATTGCCGAGAACACAAGATGTCCTGTAGAACCAGGAGGTGCCAGCCTTCCACTCTGCAGCTGGAGAAAGCCTTGAGCCAAGCACCTCGCCTTTGTTTCACATCTGTCCTGCCACGCTAACCAGGTAACGCAAAAAAAGGGATACGTTTCGTGCAAATATGAATAGGTGCAAAACCGCACCTTTTGTGCTGGAGACGTGCAGGCAGCCAGAGGGCTCACTCTCTCCGGTCTCTTGCTGCACTTGACAGATGAGGCTGAGAATTCTAACTCGGATGGGCTCCCCCTGCCCCTGTGAACTGCCTCAGGGCTGCTTCTGGCTCCCAGCCTCATGCTCAGAGCAGGTGCTCTTTTGTTACTGCCAGCCTCCTTTCTGAGCAGGCGTACCGAGGGACAGCAGCAAGCCACGGATTCACAACACAACGGCGCTCTCGCTCGCGGCCGCCCTCCCTCCGCTCGCTATTTCCACCTACCAGAGGTGATGCCTTCTCCCCGATTGATCTGGGCGAAGAGCGCGGAGCGGGAGGCAGAGTCGTCTGTGCTGGAGCTCGTGGGGGCAGGAGCGGGTGGGGGAGGAGGGCCCGGTGGGGGGGGCGCAGCCCCGGCTGGGGCAGCGGATGGCAATTTAGCCCCTTCCGTTGCTACAGGACCCTGTAAGAGGCCGGCAAGAGGAAAGGCAATTGCACAAGCTCCATATCTGCTGCAATAACGTGCAATACTCATCTAAGAAGCTCCCGCCGATGCAGCCAGGACTTACCGTTTTGCTCCAAGTCAGCCCTGTGGTGTGATACTCTTTGATATAGGCCTGCAGCTCCGTCC